GAGAAATTTTATACTCAAATGTTTTATTGAAACAGGTAATTGAATTGAATTGAATTGAAAAAATGAAATAGGTACCTACTACGCAAAAGCCACAAACACCTAATTACTCAATTAGATTTATAATTTTGGTTTAAATTATTTAGGAGAAATTTTATACTCAAATGTTTTATTGAAACAGGTAATTGAATTGAATTGAATTGAAAATGAAATAGGTACCTACTACGCAAAAGCCACAAACACCTAATTACTCAATTAGATTTATAATTTTGGTTTAAATTATTTAGGAGAAATTTTATACTCAAATGTTTTATTGAAACAGGTAATTGAATTGAATTGAATTGAAAATGAAATAGGTACCTACTACGCAAAAGCCACAAACACCTAATTACTCAATTAGATTTATAATTTTGGTTTAAATTATTTAGGAGAAATTTTATACTCAAATGTTTTATTGAAACAGGTAATTGAATTGAATTGAATTGAAAATGAAATAGGTACCTACTACGCAAAAGCCACAAACACCTAATTACTCAATTAGATTTATAATTTTGGTTTAAATTATTTAGGAGAAATTTTATACTCAAATGTTTTATTGAAACAGGTAATTGAATTGAATTGAATTGAAAATGAAATAGGTACCTACTACGCAAAAGCCACAAACACCTAATTACTTAATTAGATTCATAATTTTGGTTTAAATTATTTAGGAGAAATTTTATAATCAAATATTTTATTGTTGTCTCTGGAACCGCCCGTTTCACCATCGATCCCTAGCTTTAAGAGACAACTAAAAATATAAGTACTAATTTCGTATTCACCATCGATTTAGTGTCACGTTTAAGACACTTTAGGTGACACTTTAGGGAATGAATGAATTGCTAGAAAAAAAAATCAGTGAGATAATATTGTTTTTTTTATCAGTCCACAAGCCAACTACCAATGACATCTCGTATCATGTTATATGGAATTTTATTAAACAAGGGAAAACAAAATAAGAAGAAAGTCCATAGAATTTTTCTCCTCGCTATAGTGATATGAATACATCATGAAAATAAAATAATCTACACATGTTATTATGTTATAAATATTATCATTTTGTTGAAACTAGTCACAAACTCGCTCAAAGATTTGAATAAATTTTGCACTTATTGTTACAATAACATATGACAATAATTTAATTTCTTCATAATAATATATTTCTTCAACTGTTATTACTTATTCTATAGTACTACCTATTAAAATCAAAATAATTTATTCATCGACATAAGAAAGAAACATTTTATCTATCGATAGTTATATTTTTTTTAAATCGTAATGAGGTTCTTCTAGCGGAGAAGAAACAGGCGAAAGGACCTTCGTGGGTATCCTCATTTTTGTAATTAATTGATTTTTCTTAAAAAAATTAAATACGACTGTCTATATACTCTTTTACTTGTCACACTAAGCATAATGTTATTTGGCTTTTGCAGAATTTCCTTAAAAATGTCACCGATCCTGGAAAATTAAAAATTAAGTAAAAAGTTATAAATTTTTAGGCAAGCCTAATACTTTCAAGGCCTCCCTCACCTTACCTTAACGGATTTCGGTGATTCTGTTTTCAAATGACAATTACTAGTGCCGTCTAAGAACAGCCCGAACTTGTATTAGACGTCCCGTATCTTGGTGAACTGACACTCATTGGGTCAAAAATGTCCACCGGTTTCGTCGTTGCAATTAGCATGCAGTTTCCGTTGATATTGACTACATTTGAAAGTATTCATATATAGATTGTAGTTAGGTACGTGTATGTACTAATAGTAATAGAAAAAAATGAGAATTACAATGAATATCTCCTCGAAACTACACTGTAAATATACAATTTGACCGAAAAAATCTACACGTTTTATAGTGTTCAAATTAATATTTTAATTTTTTCGACTCAATTTGTCGAAAACGCGGACGTGATCCGTGTTTATTATGACAATTGAAACGAGCTTGTGACGCTACCAACTGCGTTATAAATGTGACATGTGCATAAATTGTATTTGTTGTAACAAAATTGTACGATAATAATGTACTACTGCCGGCTTACGTGCCATGTGGTCATACATACAACAGTATGATTTTATTTGCAGTTTTTATAGATAATGTCGCAGAACCCTTCGTGCACGAGACCCTCGCATTTGGCCATTTTTTTTTTATTTTTGATATCGTTTCTATACTATATTAATAATGTATAGGAAAACAAAATCAACTCGTAGCGGAGTCGGCCGAACTACGCTCGGTGTGGGGAGTAAAGTTTGAAAGTTTGTTTTCCAGACTTGTTTGTTTTATTTGATTCGGAACCGAACCGTTTAAACTTCAAGCTTGTTTTATGGCTCATGTACCAGGATTGTTTTTAATTACCTTCGGGCAAGGCCAACTAATAGCGTTCGATTTAACGCTCGGTGAATAAATATTCAATAAAAGTATTAATTAGTGGTAGTATAATTATCACATAATTTGTCGACATTGTGTACACATCAAGCTCTCTACAATCAAGATCAAATTTACCTCATTCAGTATTCTCATAGTATTACAAATCGTATTCAGAATCTGATAGACAGATTTAGACCAAACTAAAGAGTTTTCCCACATGAAGCTCAGCGGTTATTGTGTATTTTTTAAATTGCTTTTTTGAATCACTTTTCTATCCGAATATGTGTCTGTCTGCGTATTCTATATAAAGTTAAAAGTTTCATCTAGCACATAAGATACATACGGTTGTGATTCGGAGGTTACAAATATTTAAATTTAATTATATATTATTGTATTACTTATTATTTAATTTAATTTAATGCAATCAAAAGGCGAAATTACGAAAGTTGTTAGTTATTATTTATCGTATAAAAACAAATAATACGAGTACTTAACGGAGGCCCCAATGCTCAATGCCTACTGGCTCGAGTTATTTGCCCGTTAAATAATCAATATCAATAATGGGCAGGCGGACCATAAAGTCTTTGATGTCATGCTCGGTTTGGCAGTCGCAAGGCCAAAACTTTTATACCTAATACGTGCACTAGGGTGAGGGTTGGGAGCCTAGGAAGTATTTGCATGGATATTTTCAAAAGTTTTAGTTACTCTATCGTAGTACTCGTATCTCTTAACTGCGTTATTAGATTTTTATATTGTATGTTGAAATTTGTGGCAGACTAAGAGCATCATTATTAACAATCTGCTCATATTTAGTTTCGCGTTTATCAGTAACATGACTAGCAGCATGCCTGGATTATATCTTTAATCTTTAATGTGCACGGGCGTCGGTCCTTACTTACCGTCTGGTGTATCGCTTACTTTTCCGCTTTGATATAAAAAAAGATTATAAATGAATGGCAAAAATTTGATCACTGCGATACTCAATGGATCGAGATCGAGTTATAATCAACTATGCTTCCACATAAAGAGGAAATAAGTTTATTTATAGACATCAATAAATTAACTCCCTCCTCAATTTTGTAGCGTCTTGTTGAGCTCTCCACAGGTCTCCCACTCGAATGAACATTACCTTTTTATTGTGTTCGTACGCTATTGAATAAGGACACGCGTGTTTGTTCCACGTGCATATCTCATGTTTGCATAAAGAAAATTGTTCAACGTTATTACTATCGAATTAATACTATCATCATGGCTATAGAGGAGATAACCGTCAGACTCGGTTTGCCTAGACTAGTCACGCGGATGGCCTAATAGTCTAATTTTGATCTTTGATTTTTGTTAAGTGAGAATGTTGTATGCTAGCTGGCGTCACCTGATCAGGACGAAACTAGACAGAAATAGCCAGGGACATCACCTGATGTACCTGGCTGTTTGCAACACCCGTAGGGCTGCGGATGCGTTGTCACCTATTGATAATAAGGCCCCGGCTGCCTAACTCGCCAGACCAAACGCAGAAGTATAACACTTCCACTTGACGCTGGTCTTCTATGAGTTCGTGGTACTTAGACAGACAGGCTGTTACTTAAGAGGCTGTGGCAGGAATGGGCATGTCCGTCCACCTGCCTATTCGTGCCACAACAGAGTAAGGGGAACTCCGTTTTCCCCGTTTATCATAGTAGGTTACAGACTTGAGTAGTTTTTTTGAAACCTATCTTCGTTTTATGCGCCATTTCATACGAATTTAAACAGGCGCTCTCTTTAAATCTAGGTCTGCTCGCTCGTGCAGTTTTCAACTTCGGTGCGAGACTATTAAGCTGCCTAATGTACTGCGAAGGGCTTAATCTTAATTTATGTTCACTTTTGTAACTGTTAAAATTATCACCGCTCTCGCGACCTCCGTTCGAAACTGCTTCGCCGCTGTTTATTTTAATGCGTTAAATGTACCGATTTGAGGACAGTATTGTGTAAAATAATTGAGTTATAGAATTACAGTGAAGGAATGGAAAGGGGTTTTATTTTGGGTTTGTTGAGCCACTGTTGGCCTTAGGGGCCTTTGCAGTTTGGCTGGAGGTGGCCTGGCGCTCGGGGCGCCTAGCCTGAACCTCGACGCAACCTGAACCTCGGCGTGGAAAGGGTTTCATAATTCATGACATTCATTCGATCAATTTTATGTACTAGTGGTCGCCTATTGGTCGAAATTCGATCATAATTAATTAGGCATGGTAGTTTGTGTAATGTATAATTTTTAACTGATTTTATGTATATTCTATACATAATTTAAAAAAAAGTATTAGCATTCTGCACCCCTTCTCTATAAAAACTGTAAGTGTAGGAAATTTCATATTCCTCCGTCCGTGCAACTATTTTATAAAGTTATACAAAGTTTTTGCATAAATATCATATATATTGCAAAAACTTTACAGTCAAGGCCATCTGCTTGTGGAATAGAACTTCATCAGCAAATTCGGCGCTAGACGAATTTAAAAATGACGTAAAAATCATTATCTTTCCCTCGTGTGGTAATCGAACGAATCCCCAGTGCCGCAACCTTGGCACCTGCGCCACGGAGTCATCTACTGTTGTACTTCACATCACATCACTTAGCATCCTGGGGTAATATCCCCGCACGAGTAGGCCGTCGCCACGCCCTTTGCACCACCCAAACCACCAAACAAATCTTCCGGGTATAACGTCAAAAGTGCTAACACATATCGAGTTGTGGACAGGGCGTGATCGCACTGGCACGTACGTACGTGTATATGTACGTACGCTGGGCCCCCAATTACGTCCGTGGAGTTCCGAGTCGCTGTAATTAATGTCGGAGCGTTGCGGAGTGGGGGGGGGGGGGGGGGGGGGGGGGGGGCTGAATTATGAATCGCGAGGTCCTCTTCAACTGGGGGCTTCCGGGACACGCGAACTCACAACAAAGCCCATTAGACTCTCAGCCCGCTCCGTGTAGGAAGCCCGCTTACAAAGGCTGAATTCATTCCCCGCGAGCAGTGAGTCCACGCTTATTTGCGCAGTCATTCTGCACTGGCTCCTGAACGTTGTAATTCTGGAACGTTCCACATTCCTTTGTAGCCATTGTCCTAGTTGTTTCGCGATATAGGTTAGCTTTTTACAGCGTATGCACGGACAGATATTTATTGATGATTCGTTCTTCATTGTAAATACTATGTTGTCGTTAGCGATTGTAAAATGAATAAGCCTGCGAAATATGTTGTTATATACATTATGTAACTTACAAATTAATTGACATTTCATCGCGCACTATCTATCTGTCGTTTTAGTAAACACAAACATATAGGTATCAAATTGTGTCCTTTATTAGTCTTTAGGGTTTAAAATTACAATAATAAAAAATATTTACATGTCAATCCATTAGCGAAAAACATGAACGGTAAATGCTAAATCTTTGATGGCAATATGCTAAGTCACATAAGAGCTTGACCGAAAAAAGGTTTTAATATTTTGACCGTCACGTATTTTCAACTCCTTTGCTATCGTATGTGTGTTTGTGTGTTTGCAAGCCTATTTGTAAATAAAAGTATTGTAAAGCAATAGCCTTTATTATATTATGTCCCACTTCACTATTTTCAAATGGGACATAATATAATAAATCTATGTAACTTATGCACGTAAGTACATCATGTGGCCGTTATAAAATACGAGTAGCAAACGGAAAATCGATCCAAGCGGGTGTCTCGCGACACCTCCCGTTTTTCTTTTATAAAAGTGTCATAAAAGATTCAAAGAGAAACAACACCATTATTCAGTCAGCTAGCGAGACTGCATTTTTCCAGCACTTCAGATCTGAAATTGAACGTATACTAGGGCGAATCCCGCCGCCTTTAGATACAGACGAGTATTGCGCAACACAGCTCACAGTTTCTCCTTTAATTTTCAATTCGCCAATTTCACTTAGTTGCTTATTTACATTGCTAATTGAGCCTTTGTAATTTTGACGCCCCGTTTAATAATGCGACCCGATTTTATTATTGGATAGAATACATATCGCAAACTTAACGAAGATGTGGCAGTTTATTAAGCTCTCTTGAATTTGCTGTTATGCGCCAAGTTCGTATTAATGAAGTCAAGAAAATTATGACTGACATCAATAACAAAATCTATAGTTTTTTTTAACTTTTCCAGTATAAATTAAAACCCCTGCAGTAGGAGAGTCTAAGAGAGATTACGGCCTCGCAGAAGATTAATGTGAGGTATATGTATTTACTAAAGCACCTAAACGCACATCCTCGTCCGCTGAGTGGGATAGCATAATCTCTAAAATAAGCAACGGAACTCCCAACCAATGTAGTTTACTAGCTGTTCGCGGGTGGCTTGTGTTGTGGGTGTTTGGTTAAGAGTGTACTTTTTCACCTATATAAGGGTAAAAATAAGTATTTTATTTCTAGTTAGTGACTCAAATACAGAGGAATACGTAAGAATTTACAACTTCGTTATTGGAATGTACAAAAATCTTTTAAAAAATTGATTTGGCGTAGTATTTGTTTTTCCAATGAAAAACAAATCTCCAAAAAGGGATCGTTTGTAAATAGTACCCGAAGATGTGTTTTAATGTACGTATTTTAGTAGACAAATTACTAATTAAAATGTTTTTTTTACTAAAATACGTACATTAAAACATCTTAGTTTTTTTTTTAGTTGAAAAAAAGACAGGCCGGATTTTAAAGCACACTTCTGTCTACCTCTTTAGTATGAAAATACTGGGACTTTTTTTTTTGAGGTGAAACTTCTTTATCGGGGTTGGAAAAAAATTTAGTGTAACATTTTTACGTTACGCGCCATCTTGTTGTTGTGGTTTTAATAGTTGACGCTAGATGGCATTAGTTCCTTTGTGTGTTCATAACAATATATATATATGTTATATTAAAGTGATCGGCAAAATGAAAGGGTTTATTTTAATTCTAATTCTAAAATGTAAACAATATATTTCGTATTTCAGTTACCATAAGCCATTAATAACACAAATATATAATAACGACATCAATGATAGTAATAATTCTATTACAATTAATGAAATTCAATAATATATTTGTAGTAATCGCCCGCCCACCGTGACCTGACTGCGCCTCACAACTCACAACACTCGCACGCGAGTCGAATGTCAGCCTTCTACTCACTGGCTGACTATTTGGCAACGAAGGACGCAAGTTGCAAGTTTTTTAATCAACAATTTTTGCGGACCCTCATACTAATTACAACGGTCAAACCATAGTGTGTTTTAATTTACTACTAACGCCACATATGTATTACAAATAAGAAACTAAATATTATACAAAGCTAAAATGAAATAATTGTAGAATTTGTATTTCTGTCTATGATAATAAAAACCTTTTATTAAACTTTTTCTTTTTGGAAAAATAACGTCATCAAAAAGTTTCACTTCTTACGAGTGTACGCTAGTACACGCACACATTTTTTTTTTGTCTGGATGAGCCACTGTTGGCCTTAGGGGCCTTTACAGATCCGACGGACTTGAGGGAACCGGGCGCTCGAGGCGCCTAGCCTGAACCTCGCGTATTTATTTATTACGCGTTATGGTGACTAAGCTCGAGGGCTCCCGAAGGAACCTCGGCTCGGGCCGTCACGCTATCAGTTTCACCGGTTTGGGAGGCCGCCAAGCTCTTAGGGCGCTTTGGCGGACGCTCCATGGAGTGATCAGGCTCAAGTGATCAGCCGAGGTCCCCGAGAGGGGGGAGGGGATTAGCTTTTAGCGAGGTCCCCGAGAGGGGACCTCGGCTTGGGCTGTCACTCAGCACGCGTTTAGCATTCCGATTGGAGGGTGCCCGAGAGGGCCGGACCTCGGCTCGATCGGTAGCTGTTAACTGACTGGGGGGATCTCTAGAGATATCGTTACTACCACTTCGTAAAGAGTTGGCGCTGGGAGAAGAAGTGGCGGAAGAAACTCCAGCAACGCTTCTATCGTTAATAGGGGAGAACCTGCCAGGTACGTGGCGGAACCTAGTATATGTTTGCCGCACTCGCCGGCGAGTGCGGTGTGTGATGGTGTGTTTACGTAATTTATTGATCCTTTCGATGGCGATAGTCGTCTCATCGTCAGGGAGGTTGAGAACGTGTCTCGGTCTACGGTGGGTGCGGCGGAACGTACCTAGCGGCGTGGGTCTGTAGGAGGCGGCTCCTACGATTAACGGGTTGGGGTGCGCGGCGGCGGAATCAAAGTATCGGCGCGACGCCGACTTCAGGAATTGAGCGATGGTGGGCAACTCTAAATTGACATGTAGGTCAATATTGCGCATGAACCAGGGTGCTCCCGTGGCTCTGCGCATAAATCGATTTTGGATGACCTGAAGACGGTGTATTTGTTTCGGGGCGATATGTGCGAATACCGGACTCGCGTATGTCATAATAGGGCGAACTACTGCCTTATATAAGTTCACCTTGTTCCGAAGGGACATTTTTGAATTTTTGTTGAGGAGCGGATGGAGGCGGCTGAGTACGAAGGCCGCCCGGTTCCTGACCCGAGTCACGTGCTGGTTGAATTTAAGTTGGGAGTCGAGGACGACACCTAAGTATTTGACTTTGTTCACCCATGGTACCGGACTATCCATGAGCTTAACGGGAGGTGGTTAAGCTCATGGGTTAGTTAAATTTTTATGTGAGAAAAGGACGGCCGCGCTTTTAGCGGGATTGATCTCGATCCTCCAATGCCGGAACCAGTCACCGATGGTGATGGCTGCGGTTTGAAGGCGTCGATGGATCGTTTCGGGTGTTCTGCCTGTAGTATAGAGACAGGTGTCGTCAGCAAAGAGGGCAAATTCTACATCTTTGACACGCCGTATGTCATTGGTGTAGAACGTAAATAGGACTGGGCCCAACACTGACCCTTGGGGCACCCCGGCTCGAACGGGATGCGTTGACGAATGCATGCCCTCGACGCGATAGCGAAAGGTCCGATTACTCAGGAAGTCTCGTATTATGCATACGAGACGGTCTTGTATACGAGCCCGTTGTGCCAGACCTTGTCGAACGCCTTTGCTACGTCCAGGAAGAGTGCTCCGGTGTTGCGCCCGCGTTGTCGTTTGGCTAGAATGTGCTCCGTGATGCGGTGCACTTGGTGGGTACATGAATGTTTGGCTCTGAATCCAAACTGTTCTGGGATGGGGAGGCCTTTAGTTTCCATAAGGGATCTTAGGCGGGCTAATATTAGTCTTTCAAAGATCTTCCCAAAAGTTTTGAGAAGACTTATTGGACGATAAGAGGTTGGGAGAGTGGCGGGTTTGGAGGGTTCGAGGAACCCTATGACATCAGCTTCTTTCCATTCGGACGGGAAGAAGCCTTCGGTTAAGGCCGCGTTGTATATTATAACTAGGATCGGAAGGATGCTAGCAGGAAGGAGTTTGGTCACCTTATTGGTGATGACGTCTGAGCCAGGCGCTTTGCGTGGGCGTAGCTTTTTGATGGTCTCTACTAGTTCTAGGCACGTGACCGGGGGAACGGGATCGCGAAGTGGCTCTAAAGCTTTCCTTTCAACCTCTTCGTTCACCTTGCGGAGGTGTTCTGGGTTGACCGGAAGCAGACTAGGGCCGCATTGGGACTCTAGACTGTCAGCTAGGCATTCGGCTTTCTCTTCGTCCAGCATTGCTGGCGTTCCTATCGGGCGGATTAATGGTGGCATGTTTAAAGTGGAGTTTCCCTTTAAGGATTTGGGAAGATTCCAGAAGGCTTGATGGGACGGTTTAATTGAGGTTAAGGCGGAGTCCCACCGATCGTTTCGTGAGTCTGCTATGCGTGTTTTGACTTCACGCTGCAATTTACGTAGCAGTCTGCGATTCGAGTCAGTGGGATATGTATCCTAGGCACGTGTGGCAGCATTCTTGCGTCTCAGTAAGTCACGCACATCGTCTGGCAGGGCCCAGCGATGGTCGTCCATTGCTGGGACCTGTCTCGAGCATTGCTCGACGACGGTGTTGACGTGGCTCGTGAGAGCCCGAATTGCTGTTTCAGTGTCTTGTTTGTTACTAAGTTGGTCGGGAATTGATTGC